CGCGTTGGGTAGGGGGCCAAGGGGATGCTCCGAGAACAGGACCGCGACACGCACCACAAAAACCGCTCCGTGCACCGCACCCAGCGATCTCACGCGCAAATGGTGAAAACACTGCAGGAAAACCACTCGCCCTGAGAGTACCCTTACCGCTCCAGTTACAGTAATCCCAAGTACAGAGATTTGGTAATCTGAAGGTCAGCTAACTCTACGGCCACACTGCCTCTTCAGTCCCTGCATTACAGTTCTGCATTTAATGAATGAAAAACTCCCCAGCCAACAACAAACTCCGCTCTCCAAGCGTGGCGCCGCGCTCTATAGCTAAGAGCACCACAAATACTAGTGAAAAAGAAACGGAAGATAGCAATCCCAGAAGGATTTATATCAAAATATATTTGTAATGGTCCCATTAATTTCATTTATAACTTCAGGGATATTTTGTTGGCATGAGGAATGCTGAGCACCCCAGTGCCACGGCAGACACAAAGAAAAGACCTTCCAGAACCTGCTCCAGCATCACAATTCCCTGTTCCCAGCTCAACGGCATCGGCAGCGTGTAAGGCTATGTATCAATTGTTTAATCTTAATATATGTGAATTTATCTACTAGGGGTAGCAACAGAAAGGGAGACTGCAAATGCTTAGGTTTAATATTGTAAGAACATGCAAAACTCAAATACAACGCTCCCGTTCAGGGGAAAAATCCAGACTACGGCAAAACCAGACTATTCCTGAGAGGGCACTGCAGTATCTGCCACTTCCTAGGATGGCAAAAGTATGTAAATCACCACTGATATTTTAAAATTATATTTATTCATAGATTTGTATCGTGTGCCCATCGTTCAGCACCTGGGTACGCATACACATATTAAAATAATACACATCATTTGTCTACAAATCGTAATTTAAGTACATTCTTACTTGTGGGGTACGGATCTTCACAAATCCCCTGCCGTTCCCCCAGCAAAGGCCTGAGTAAACCGATCCCAGCAGTGACCGGAGACGAAGGGACGGGGCAGAGGGGGGCATCGCACAGCGACAGCGCGGGGGGACACGGCGCGCAACCGCTTTGGGCCAAAAGCGGAGCCGTTTGGATGCTGGGAACTCACGGCAATGTTAAAGACACCTTGATTAGCCTTCAAAATATCTCCTGCATATAAATCAGCTCAATATGAATAATACTTACAATATTTGCCTTGTGCATTTTTCCTAGTAAAGGGTAAACGGTCTTACACGCGGGGTTTGCACAAGTCTTCAGTCTCGCACGTTTAAACACCGAGCCTCCCTCGTCCGTGCCGGGAGGGCGAACGCTACGGATGCCATCCCCGACCGGGCGAGCAGACGTGGGCCTGTGCGGGGTTTAACGTCACCGGGCTGCACCTTCTGCTGGGACATACAGCAACACGGTGGAGGTCACCGAAACCAGCAGCAGCCAAGGAAGAAAAGACCAAAAGAGAGTAATTACTCCTAAAACCACTGTTGAAATCGCACCGCACGTACGTAGAGTCGCATGTTGCTCGTCCGTGTTTCTGCAGTTAAAAAAATTAATACGCACATGTAAGATCCACCCAAGCAGCACATATTTTTCGAGGCCCGTCTCCCGCAGACCTCTATTCACCCAAGTAATGCTACTGAAGTCAATGGAAACGCTCTTGTAAACAAGGATTTACAAGAACCCAACGTGACAATGATTTCAAAAGGAGTTTTGACTGTGCAATTGTTGCTGGATTAGGGTCTTCAGAAACGCCCAGCTTGCTCTGAAGAGCACAGAATTCAAATCTGCCAAGTGCTGGGGCCTCCGGAGTGGATCCCGGGAAGCACTGAAGGACACGCTCGGCCTTAGGCATGGGAACGGCCCCGGGGCTCCCCCCGAAGATGGGCAAAACCCCTACGGAAGGGATGGGAGCTTCCACAAAAATACAGGCTCTCCTCCCTCCCTTTTATAAGCCACTGACCTAAACTGAACCGTATCACATCACTGCCTAAATTAACACAGAATAAACTGTACAAGTACCTCGTTACAAAAAAAAATAAAGAAAAATAGAAAAAGGGGAAAAAAAAAAAAAAGAAAAACCACTTGGCAGACATGTTTTCTACAAAATAAGCCTACTTGGTGAAATTCTCATTTAAAATAATTGATTCAGCAATAAACCAGCAGCATAGCCCAGAAGCGCAAACAGCAGTATTTACCAGCAGCGCTTGCCCAGATAAGTAAAAGTTCGTAATAAACAGATCACCCGTTCCTGTGCTTATATAAATGCAAAACGGAGCAACAAAACGTAGCAACAATACAAAAGACAAATAAATGAGTTAGACACGGAGTCCAGGAGTTTAAGAAGTCTCCCCTGTATTTAATAAAGCATGATTTTTTTTTTTTTTGTTAGAAACACTAACAGATCCCTCACAGATAGTTTTTATCTTTATATTCTTATATAAGACATTTTGTGTTTAAAGTGAACTATTGCTTCATCTAGGTGGCCCCTCTGCTGGGCATAGAAACTAGGTCGTGAACAAAATAAAAAAATCACCATTGAAAATTACAAATCATACAACTTTAAAGCATTTTGATATTCCTCCCGCCCCCCGCCTCAGTCCAAAGAGATAAATAATTGAATCGCTGGGAATGTAGAAGTCTGTGTTTTAGCGAAAATTTCTGCGTCTACGTAAAATAAAAAAGAAGCCAGCCAGAGTCACGATTAGTTGAGAGACGAAGGAAAATATGCAATTACAGTTCATCCCATTCTATCAGCTCAGCAGGTGGAAAACATTTAAACCGGGGACTTCTCAGAACCGAACCTAACGCTTTGTTTCTATCACGGGTCAAAGTCCTCTCGCAATCAGTGAGACACTTGCTTTCGAAGAACTGAGTATCGGGGATTCTGCAATGATTTCTAATTAAAACATTAAATCTTGTCATTTCACAAGGTTCCAGATTTTTTTGTTTTCTTTCATTTTTCTCCAGGAAAATTAGCATGTATCTAGTGCAAAGCAAACGATTCTCCCCCGCTGCCCTTTAGAGAACTTCATATATACCAAACGCTATTAAACAATTGACTTTGTATCAGTTCTTAAAAAAGGATTAAAATTACTCTCGTGACATCGAGGTTATGCTGCCTTCAAAACCATCCAATTAGGAAAAAAGAAAAATTACCTTTGGACAATTAATTTAACTAAAATTGGATCAATTAAAAACCGTATCTTTGCAAGTTTTTTTACATTTACAATACATCTCTGTTTATGCATAAAATAAGCATTTTGAGTACGTTTTCTCTTAGCCTAGACCAAGAATAAGTTAATATATTTAACAATTTGATTAGGTTCCAATTTTGAAATCTAATGTACAGCGTAACATATCATTTATAGCTCAACGACTGAGCCTGCAGATGGAAAGAAAGGCTGGAGCTGCCACTGACTGCTATCTGCATCGACACCAGGGTCTCGACTTCTACCGAAGCAAAAGAGCTATACAGGATTATCAGTAGAGTGGATCGTTCTTTCTCAGGGCTATTTTACTCAAGAGAATCCATTTAAAATTGCTCAAAACATCAAATGAAACACAAGTTATCTAAACATCAGATTTTCTAATTTTATTAAAAACGCACAAATTTTATCCAACATGTTTTCTTTCATACAGTGAATGGTCTAATATGCACTGGAGGTCACACAAGCTTAGGTTTATTAGAACAATAAAAGACATATGAGAAATTTAATATATAAAGAAAAAAGTAGCAGCTGTTGACTGCATATTTGACCATAAAATTTAAATATTTTGGACTTTTATTTTAAAGACACAAAAATAAAACCTGTGTGGGTCTATATTAGTCATATTAACAATTCCATGAATGTTCAACAGGACTAAAAATTAGCAAAGATGTTTGTTTGTTGGTTTTGTTGGTTTTTTTTTAACCTTGTAACACTTTTTAAACACCTTCTCGGGTTGCTGGTGCAAAGCACCTTACAGTATTTGTGCTATATATTTACTTTATTTGGCAACTGTCTGGGTTTTGTGGGGTTTTTTTTTTTTTCTTTGCCTTCTGTAAACAACACCTTTTACAAACTAGCACAGTGAACCACAAGCCCTGCAATCTGTTATAACATCTACAGAAAAGAAAATGAACTATTTTGGTTGGTTGCTCAAAATATTTTGCTTTTGAACAAGAGGTTCTAAAACAGGATTTATTAGTAAAACATTGAACTCCTGAATTTAACATTAGACGTAAACAGTTGACTGTTTTTAGTTCAATAGAGTCTTTTTGTTTAGCTTTTCTCTCTCTGTGAAGGTAGAATACTTTTTGTTTGTTTGTCTGTTTTCAAGTCATGTTCGTTAGAGATCTGGGTGGTGACCTTTGCTATGATGAGGAGGTTTTGTACGTGTAGCTTTGTGAAGGTAGAAGAGTTGGTGCGGAGGGCTTAACATTTAGTATTTGCTATTTTGGAAAACAAAACAAAAACAAAGGAAAAAGAAAGTTGTCCCACCTGATAGTCAGCAGGCTGAAATGGCTGAAGCTAAAAAGAGTTTCTTGTTGTCGAACTTTCTGAGAGACAAAAATTAACAAACAAATTCATAATGCCAGAACCATCCTTAACCGGGAACGCTAGAGTTCTTGAAGCTTTTTTTCCCCCTTTTCTTTGACCTTTCCTTCATTCAATTATTTTTTTTTTTTTTTAAAATGAGAAGTTTCTAAGGATTGTGGCTCTTAGGATGACATCCAACCGGGTAACCAAACTTACGCCATCCTAGGGCATGGCAGCACTTTACTGTACAGCTTCACCAGTTTCTTTGTCAATGGTACAAAAAAGTCCCCTTGCTTGTTTGATACAACCATAAGATGGAGATTGTCCTGGTCTAGAGCAAAGCTTGCCTTGGAGCGGTTTGGATTCAGTTCGTTCCCAAGGTAACATTGTCTTAGGGCAGGAGAGATGTTCTATTTATTCACTTCTGTACACCGTAACAATAAGCAGACTAGATGATCATCACTTACTTAGACCCAGTTTGTTTTAAAGCTACCACACAGCCGCTTCATTCATTTCTGGTGGATGTGACAAGTGATTGCCATAGTTAGCACCACCGTTGACGGATATCGAAGAAAATGGAGGACTGGGGCCAAAAACTTCGGCGGACATGGAGTGCAAGGACCCGGGCAGGTTGGGTTCGGGACTGGGCGAGTCTCCTGGGGGGTGCGACATGATGTCAGTGAAGCGCTGAGCCTCACTGGAGGGGTGATGTCCGGGCAGGGGGTGATCCATGGCCCCCAGGGGGGTGCCTGACGGCCCCGAGGAGGGCACGAAAGGGAGATCCACGGGCGTCTGAGCTTGAGAGGAGGGAGGTCCTTGCGGGAAGAAATCGTAATTGCTTCCAGGGCCGTAATACTCGCTCTGATAATCTGGTGGACGAGGAGAGAGAGAGAGAGGGAAGGTAACACGCAGGCGGAGCGGCCGAGTGGAAAAGACACGAGAGCGCGCTTCAGCGGCGGCGCGGCCGGGTGCCTCCCACTGTCACCCGGGGCTGGCTGAACCCCACGGG